CACACACACACACACACACACACACCCCAAGATTTATAGAAAAATGACAGCTCTGACCACGCCTTACTCGCACAAGCATGAAGCCGAAAATACCAGCCTGAAGATAGCAAGTGGGCCCTCGCCGAAATGTTGCCAAGACAATCTCAATCTTACACGGGAAAAGACCCGAATACAAGACCATCATACCTACACCCGTGAAAATCTATGAATATGTATGTATGTATGTGTGTGTGTGTGTGTGTGTGTATACACACACACACATACATACACATACATACATGCATACACACACATATACATACATACTTACATACATACATATATATATATGAAAATGATATTTCTTTGGTTATGTGTACATACACATAAAAAGGCAGCCAAAATAAATAAAATACCAAGCAGTAGAATATCAGTTAAGAATTCAGATAAAAAAGCATTCATAATTTAGTATGCAGCATTTAATAATTAAGAAACTAATAAATCCTGAGACTGTGATGTCTTAAGTGGCATTTCCAGATAAAAAAAATCTTATATTGTGCTGTGGTGGCACAGGGGTTAGAATGCAGCATTGCAGACTAATTCTGCTGACTGCCAGTAGTTTGGCAGTTTGATTCTCAGCAGGCTCAAGGTTGATTCAGCCTTCCATCCTTCCAAGGTGGGTAAAATGAGAACCCAGATTGTTGGCAATATGCTGACTCTGTAAACCACTTAGAGATGGTTGTAAAGCACTGTGAAGTGGTATATAAGTCTGAGGGCTATTGCTATATAAATAAATTGCAAATTACAGTGCAAGTCAACCTATTTTAATTGTCTGTTTCAACCTCCTAGCAGCCCAGATATAGTACTCAAGAGCATACTAAAGCTTTGATTTCATGTATCTTAAACATAAGCTATTATAAATCTTTATTTTCCCCCATAATCAGGTGTTTCAGTATAGATTATAGGGCTAATCACAAGCAGGGCTGAGCTTTATGCTTTAAATTGATTTTTAAAGTCCTTTCTATATTCCACATTAGCAATGATTTTCATAGAGATGAAATAAATGTAAGAGGAAAAATTCAGTTTTATGAGAAATGAGTATTTCCTTAAGCAGTAGAAAAAGGCCTGTGAAATTATATACCTTCTAGCCAAATCCAACTCCACAAACTAAATGTAACAAATATAATATTACTTTATCCTCTTCTACCCAATTTAAGTTAGCGGTTTTCCAAGAAGGAAAGTACTTGCACATCTGGAAAGAAGTGAGACTAAAGAGATAATATAAAGCCCCTTGTGTCCCTGTTAACTGAATCCATATTTTTAAGGAACTGTATATGCCTATTAGCCTAATATTCCTCTGTCAAATGCACCAGCAGTTGAAATTTGATAATTACTGGAAAGCTGAGAAGAATGAACGGTATCTACATCAATTGCAAGACATCCAGTCACTTAGTTTAATTGGGTGGCTACAGAAAATGAATGAATGAACGAATGAATGTTAAATATGGCTAAAAACGCTTGTTTTAGATCATTTGCCAGAAATGCAGAGTAAATTGTATATTTTATCTCTTGTATACTTTAATTATAGACAAAGTACCATATGATATCTAGAAAAATAAAATGAACACTATACCTGTGAGATTCTATCTTTTTGTTTGGCACCAAGAGATTCCTTTAGCTTTGACCGAGAAGGTGGCTGACGTTTTACTTTCAAGGCAAGCTGGGCTTTAGCTTTATGGGCACTTGTATCTAACCTTGGTATGTCTCCAACAAAGGTATCAAAATCTGTAACAAATGCATAGTCACTTATCCAAAAGTTACTATAGTATTTATTCATCACCTCATTTTATTATGAAATTATTCAACATTCCCTTTTCTTTGTAACAATTAGATAAATAACAATTTAGATTCTGATATTTTGTTTTACAAAAGAAGATAAGTATCACTGTACCAGCTGTAGTAGAAGGACAACTTAATGTCATTTTATAAAAATGTATTGCAGGCCATTTAAGTGGTCCTCATTTAATGACTGTTCATTCAGAGTCTGTTCAAATTTACAACGACAACAAGCAGTGATTACTATTAGACATTGTAGTCCCTGCAGTCCTGATTGTGGGCTTGCAAACTACAACTTCGCAGCTCCCATGATCATGATTTGCCGGCTTCCCTGCCAGCTTCCCACAAGCAAAGTTGATGGGAAAGCCAGCAGAAAGTTGGAAGTCAACATCAAGTAGGATTCTCACTTGACGGTGGCAAGCAGGACTGGCCATCCCTAAACGGTGCAGTCACATGACCACGTTGCTTGACAATGGAATTTTTGGTCCCAATTAGGATAGTATCTACCAATTAGGACTTTGCCAGAGGTTTTGGTATCATAGTTTGCAGAGCATACCAATAGATATTTTTATTACTCACCAGAAAAATCTAATTTCTCCACCGAAGATTCTAATTCCTGCATATCATCCTTAATTTCAAAATGTTCTGCCAGTTGTTCAGTATTTGGTGTGACAGAGTCTAATAACATACTATTTCCAAACAAATAAGGGAGTTTCTCATATATTTTTAACTTGTCTTCAAGCTCTGTGATCTGAAGATGATAAACATCATTTTAAAAACTGAGACATATTTACAAAGACCTTTAAAATAACATTTAAAATATCATTTTGTGCAGACCTTCTCCTGCAAAAATTTTAATTGATTTGCATGTTCCTGATTGTTCTCTTCAATAATTTTTGTATGATCTTCTTTTATCGCGAGTTCTTCTCTGGAAGAGGGAACAAACACATAATTATGCAACATAAAGGAGTAACAAGAAAAAAGTGAAGTTTATTAAATTGAGCTTCTTAGCAACCAATCATTTTTCTTCTTTAAAAAAGAGACAATTTCCTTTTACCTTCAATTTATTGTTTATATTGTATTATTTATTAGGCATATTTGCCTATAAATATATATGAAATAATAAGACTTTGGACAGATGGTATAAATGTGATATAGAGCTGCAATCTTTTTCCTGACCTTTTTTCCCCCATCTGACCTTTGGTCTTTCATCTTCACCATGTCTCTCTCTCCCCCCCCCCCTTCCCCTTTGCAGAACAGATTGCCTCTTTTTACCATCTAATACCAATCTTACAAGCAATGCTGCTGCGCGTAATAATCTAACTAAAACACACAATCATCCCTCAACAACTGAATAACTCAAGAATTAAGTTGCTTTTCGTGGCCTGAATACCCATATTTTGAAATTGATTAATATTTTTGGGAAACAACCTCTTTAATGACATTACATCAGAGATGAGGAACTTATCCATCTCCGAATTCCATCTGCTGGCCAATGCCGATTGTCGACCACCCGGAGGAGGGCCTTCTCTGTGGCTGCTCCGGCCCTCTGGAACGATCTCCCCATGGAGATTCGGACCTCCCCCTACCCTTCAGGCTTTCCGTAAAGCCATTAAGACCTGGCTGTTCCGGCAGGCCTGAGGCTGCTGAGTCCCATCCCCACTCGAATTGGTGTGTTTGTTGAGACCTTTTATACTGGTTCTGTATTGTTGTCTGTCTTTGTTCTTCCTTTTATATTGTTCCCTTCCCCTTCCGGTTTTGTTAGCCGCCCTGAGTCCCTTCGGGAATAGGGCGGCATACAAGTTAAATAAAACCTAAACCTTATGATCTCTAAATATTACTGAACTTTAACCCCTGGCAGCTTCAACCAGTCCAACCGATGATAAAAGATATAATTAGGCAATAACTGAAGAACACATTATCCATCTATTTTGATAAGACTGCAACACCATCACTGCCTACAATATATCATTTCAGTATTTTCTTCTTTTCCTTGAATTACATAATTCATGTTGTCCTACATTTTTTCCTAGGGTCCAAAATAAAGCACTAATACTGTAAGGTTGAGGTAAAGGTTTCCCCGCACATGCATGCTAGTCATTCCTGACTCTAGGGGCAGTGCTCATCTCTGTTTCTAAGCCGAAGAGCCAGCGCTGTCCGAAGACATGCTGTCCAAAGACATTCTCCATGGTCATGTGGCCGGCACGACTAAACACCAAAGGTGCACAGAACACTGTTACATTCCCCCCAAAGTGGTTCCTATTTTTCTATTTGCATTTTTACATGCTTTCAAACTGCTAGGTTGGCAGAAGCTGGGACAAGTAAAGGGAGCTCACTCCGTTATGCAGTGCTAGGGATTCGAACCGCTGAACTGCCAACCTTCTGATCGACAAGGTCAGCATCTTAGCCACTACGCTACTGTGTCCCTATGTACTAAAACATAGGGACTTTAATTCAGGGACAAATTCAAAACCCTGATGTGAATTACTTACAAACATACAGAAACAAACATATAGCAATAGCACACAACATTTTACATCTAAGAAATTATACACATAGATATCTATGAGCTTAACTGACAGAGTAGAACAACACACTCACTTCTGCTGATATTCTTTGAGTAACTTCTTCGCTTTGTTATACTTTTTTTCCAGCACATCATATTGTTCTTGAGTTTCTTTAAGATGCTCATTTACAGTTTTGCATAAACTCTGGGCTTCTAACCAGTAGGTCTCTAGCTTTTTTATTTTTTCTTTGTTATCATCTATAGTTTCCTGGAGCTGCGATTTCTTTAACTCCCATTCAATCTTTTCAGCTTCTGTTGCTTTTAGCTTTAAAAAAAGTTCAAATTATTAGTCTTTAGTAATTACTCATTTATGTATATAGATTAATTGATTAGATTTTAAGCCAAACAAGTTAAGTTTATCTCCAAAATGTAACAAGGAACAATTATTAATTTTGCCTTAGTTTTAAGTATCAGCAGCTGTCCATTTGCATAAAATCCACACAGATTAATTCATTTTGTAGTAATTCATGCTTTTTTAAAAATCTCTTGTCATCTAAAAATATTGCCTTTAATTTCTAATATTCAAACTGTTCTAACCGATATAAAAGATCTACTACTCCGAAAGCAAAATAAATATTTACCTTATTTTCCAAAAGTTCACTTGTAAGCTAAATTTTATGGACATGTTTTATATTTTTGCTGATATTAATATGCTAGCTTTGAAACAAATGTTTCCCTCCTACACAATTGCCTAGTTTCTTGATGGCAATTTCTCATAGGTTACACTATGTGACGAATGTATACTAAATATAATAAATGAAGAATGCATATAAATAAGGAAAATGTTCTTACTTATATTGTCAAACTCAAAACCTCAAGGAACATAGTCAGCAAATTTTTAGCTTCATTGCTAGAAAAAACCCCACTGGATTACCTGGTATTTTTCTATTACAGAACTTTTAGAAACTGTTTTCAGTTCATACTGCAAAGGTTTTAAAGTTTTAGGAGTGCGTCTGTGATTTAGATTCAGTAATCCAAGTCATACATTATGTTTTAATTGCAAGAAAGCAAATGGCCTAAAACTGATAAAAGATCCATACACTTTGAAATATGCTTCTCTGTTATCAAAAATGCATTGCAAGCAGTGGAACAGTTGTTTAATTGATTGGGGAAGGGAGACAGTGCTTATGTAAAAGATATTCTATAGCAGAATATTAAAAATCTCAAAGTATCAAACAATTCTAACCCATGTACCCTGGATGTGAATAAGGCACTGCCCTTACTTACAAAGGACATTTTTTTATCCTCACAAAACAAATTATTCCTCCTTTTTATTTGTGCTTTTCATTTGCATGTATCCAGCAATGCTTATTTATTTTTATTTCAACAAGTATATGACATGTGTAATGAAATTCTAGAGAAAATATTCCTCACAGATTAGCACAAATTACATCAATAATGTTTTCTGTTTTTAGTTGAAATTAAGAATTCGGTTTTATCTTGTTTGTCCTTAATATATTCAAGTTGAATTTACAAATAACCAAATTTAAATATTTTTTAAAAGTATATATTGAAGATTTACCTTTTCCTTAAGTTGATTAACTTCAGCCACTGTAACTGCATGCTTTAATTGTAACTAGAAAAAAAGTGCATGGAAAGTTTTATTGAAGAAAAAAAAGGTGCAACAGATATTTGAAAATTCATTTTATATCTCTATTACTGTTCACATTTTTTCCATCACATTGTAAGCAATAAGGTTTCATAATCTCAAAGTGCCCACGCTCTTCTCCTCAAGCAGAATAAAACCACTCGTTTATTGTATACTTACACCAGACCAATTGGTCTCAAGATACTGCTAAGCTACGGTTCATGAATTACCTCACTACTAGCCATGCTGGCTAAATCTGCTAAGTGATAGAATTCAGCAATATCTGCATGGACTGCAAATTCCCATTCTGTGGCTTAGAGACAATAGTTTATCTAAACATAAAAAGCTAGAACTAGTCAGAGGAAGTAGTTATAACTTGTTTTTCCCACCAATTTTGCTGACATCCAATTTCAGGCAGCTCTTCCTCTTTTTGAATTATTTCCAACTGATAATTATATGACCCACTCATGTAAGATAAATATGAATAGAGTCACTGATTGATTCATGTTAAAGATCATGATATATTGCTAGATAAAAATGGTTCCAACTGATATATTAATATACTTTCTGATATAAACTGCCTGAAAATATTTCTTTACATAATCAGCATTATTACTGATGACAAGAAGTATTCATTAGGAGGCTTAAAAAATAAAAATTAATTCTCTCAAGCCTACTATATAACTAAATCAAAAGAAAGGTATAAAATATATGCTTTATATAAAAAGGATGTGCTTTTCTCTTCTCTCAAAAGAGAAGAGCCTTCAAAGTGTTATTAGCTAAAAGTACAGTGGAAGGAAGTAACAGAATCTGAAAAGGCAACTCCTTTGGGAACAGTGGCTTGGGATGTGAGGGGGGGGACAGTGTTACATCAACAGCACCGAGGTCACAACTGTTCTGCTGAGGCAGGCAAAAGGAATAGGGTGGAGAAAGCTGAGATTTGAGTACCGCAGCTGGAACAGCTATCTGGATTTTGCCCCAGAAAGGACTGAAGAATGGAATGTAAGAGATGGAGTGAGGATTGGGAAGAGGTAAAAGAACATAGAGTAATCCCATAGGTGATATTACATGGAAAATGTTGCATGTGCTGAACAGTAACTTATGCCCTTATTGTGCTTGTATGCTTGGATTATTGCAATACAGGTACTCCGTAACAACCACAATTGAGCCCAAAATTTCTGTTGCCAAGTGAGACATTTGTTAAGTGAACTTCGCCCCGTTTTACGATTGCTCTTGCCACAGTTCTTAAGTGGATCACTACAGTTGTTAAGTTAGTAACACGGCTGTTAAATGAATCTGACTTCACCATTGACTTTGTTTGTCGTAAAAGAGGATCATGTGATCTGGGACACTGCAACCGTCTTAACTACAGGCCAGCTGCCAAGCATCAAAATTTTGATCAAGTGACCATGGGAATGCTGCAAAGTTTGTACATGTGAAAAATGGTCATCTGTCACTGTTTTCAATACTGTTGTAAATGAACTGTTGTAAATCAAGGACTACATATATTGAATTGATTCTGGTATTGTTCATGCTTTAATGATTTATTATGATTATGTATTAAATTTATCACTTATTTAGATATGCTTACTAAACAATATTTCTTAATGAATAAGCTATATAAAGTGGTTTTTCTGGCCTTATTAAAATAAAGACAATTCCCAGAATATTTTATATTTTGTATAGGAAGTAGAATTCCTACATACACATCTAGAAAAATATTTTAAAGATACAATATATTCCATAAATTTTTATTTTATTCCAAAGATATCATTGAAAAAGGTATCATTAAATTGTAACATCAGATTTTATAACATACAATAGATTAATTCACAGTAAACGCCCTATCATCCTTTTAAAGAGATAACAAAATTGCACTCTACCTCTTTAAACTTCAGCATGAACTGTGCTGAATCCATGTCTATTGGGAAAGTAATATCTTCATTTTCAGGAAGATAAAATACTTCTACTGATTTTTCTTGTAAATGTGATTCAAAAGAAACATCATCTTCATCATAATCTTCATCCTGAAACAATATTAAATTCAATCTTTTATTAAAACTATCAAATTTTCTTAAAATGATGTTAATACAACAATAAATATATAATGCTATTATATTCAGCATTTTTTACATTTTTATGAACATGTAAATCTTAAAATATGACATTTTAAAAAGTAAATGCTTAATAGTTTATATTTATACATTTAGTTGTTGCTTCATATGACATTGTAAACCATCAAATTTGGTTACATTAGTCTCTGACCAAAATAAACTTTGAATCTGAACATCAAATTTGGCTGAAAGTATATTTTGAGCAAGAAATCTCCTAGTCCATGTTGCCCGACTGTTCTGGCTTTGTTCCTCTTTTTGAGCAAAGGGACTTTACAAATCAGGAAAATACAAATGGGTACAAAGTGTAGCGAAGAAAAACAAAGAAAATGAAGAAAATGTACACTTGCCTTGCTTTTAATTTTTGATGTAATGCTTAAATAATTAAGTATTTAATTTATAGTCCAGTGTTATCTTTATAAGGGCACTACATATGTCAAAGCAAACGTAACCAACCAGACTTCCATGTATTAGAATAGAATAGAATAACGAGTTGGAAGGGACCTTGGAGGTCTTCTGATCCAATCCCCTGCTACACCACTTCAGACAAATATATCCAACATCTTCTTTAAAATTTCCAGAGTTGGAGCATTCACAACTTCTGGAGGCAAGTTATTCCATTGAGTAATTGTTCTAACTGTCAGGAAATTTCTCCTCAGTTCTAACTTGCTTTTCTCCTTGATTAGTTTCCACCCATTGCTTCTTGTTCTACCCTCAGATGCTTTGGAGAATAGGTTGACTCTCTCTTCTTTGTGGCAACCCCCGAAATATTGGACCACTGCTATCATGTCTCCCCTAGTCCTTCTTTTCATTAAACTAAACATACCCAGTTCCTGCGACCGTTCTTCATATGTTTTAGCCTCCAGCCCCTGCAATACTTTGTTGCTCTTTTTCTAGAATCTCAACATCTTTTTTACATTGTGGCGACCAAAACTGAATGCAGTATTCCAAGTGTGGCCTTACCATTCTTATATTTATGTTCTTATAAATGACAGCATTTATAAGAATAATATAAAATGATAGCTAAATTGTATTATGTCCAATGCTTATTAAACCAAGATGTATGGCTTATTGTTTCAATCAAATGCAGTCATTAACAATTTGTATTTTATCAGAGGAATAAATATAGCTGAACATGGGAAATGCTGGGATTTGCTCTTGCTTTGTGTGGCTACAGGCTCTTCACCCCTTACAGCATGAATATTTACTGGAAATAACCCCTTTCAAAAGGATTTTATAGATCTATAAAGTGATCTTAATAAAAGAAGCAATCTTCCACGATTAAACCACAAAACTGCATGGGGAAGAAGCAATGGGAGAAGGCGCAAATTACTCATTGGATGAACTACATTTAATTACTGAAACTGACTACCTTGTTATATATGTAGATAGGAGACACATGCCAAGGACAATTTTATGTAGACAGATTGCAACATATGGACAAAGGTGTAAGAGGAAAAAGGATATAGCATTTTTTATATGATTTAAAACTCTGCCCAACTCAACCAATGTGATCATGCGAGGCATACAACATAAAAATGAATAAATAACAAGGAGGGTAACAATAAACAATACATAAATATCAACTATAAATGGCAACCAAGGACATAACACAGCAGTTACAGGGGACTCCCACTCAAGTGGCCCCTTACACTTGAGGGAAGAGACAGCTACATAGCTTTCCTAAACGCAAAAAAAAAAACTTGTGAAATATCTTGGGGTGGGTGTCATTCCAGAGAATAGGGCAACCACAGAAAAGGCAACTTTCCTAGGTCCCATTTAAAATAACAAGATATAAAAGAAGGAATCTGAAGCTTGTCCATGGTTGAAAGAAAAATGGAGACAGGGAGAAAAAAAATGCAGCTTAATAAGAAAAAGAAAAGAAGGAGAACAAAATGTAATAATTCGTAGGAAGAACTGGGAATGACTTTGTTAAGTCTATGAATGAGACAGAAGGAACAAATAATGTGGGATGCAATGAGGACACAACTCTCCACCCATGTGCCAGGTTTTTCTTGAAGGGCTTTTTTCAATTAAAAAAAATGTTTGACTTGCCTGCCATGTAATCTCTTTATCAAATTTATGCAATTCATAAATTGCTGTTGAAAATTTCTTCTTCCCATCCCACTTATTTCTTCCTCAACTGATGATCACCTTAGATAAGAATTCATGAATGATTTCTAACTGTCAGATAACAACTTAGATAACTTTTTCTATCTGTTGCTCCAAGGTTTCTGGTAAACTCATTCTTTCTCATACCTACAGGAAAAAGCTAATGTAGAAATACTGTTTTGAAAAGCAACAATTTACTCCAAACCCAACATGAATAGGTATACATATATTTTTGTGTGTGCACACACACAGACACACACACCCACACCCATCTTGTTACCTGTTCTGTTTCATGGGCATATTGCTGTTCATATAAGTATCTCTCTTGTTCTAATGTCTCGCTGATAAGGCGAGCTACTTCACTCTGAGTTCCTGGTTTTTCTCTTCCAATCAGAAATCTAAGGTGTAAAAATAACCAATATTAATACATCAATGACCAAAAAAATACAATGGTGCTTTTAATATTTTCTTATACCTTGGCAACAGTTAACTATGCTTTGTTTTCTTACATGACATTTTGAAATATGGTCAGAAATTGCAATGGAAGCAAAGTGTAGTATAATATCGAAATAGCAATAACAGACTAATATACTGCTTTGTATCACATAATGCTAGTGTAGTATTAATATATCTGCATTAATGGGCACAATATCTGGCACAAAACACACAAACCTTTTTATTTTTTTGCATTCCACCCAAACTATGAATAGCATTTTCTCAAGAGCTGTGTTTGCCCCTCATTCTCTCTAAATTTAGAAAATTGATGAAAATGTTCTTTTAGCATTAACTTAATGTTAACTATTTGGACTATGGCTTTGTTAGGTGCTTTGCATACACATTCATACTGTACATAAGGGAATAAATCAATGATTGCTTAATTATATATAATTGTTTATACCTGACTGAGCCTTTTGTATTTTTTAATACAGTTGCTGCAAAAAACTGGGTTACCCCCACCAGGCTTATCCCATCAACTTCAACAATCTGATCATTCACTTGGATTCTGCAAGGCAAGGAACAAACATTAGATTTTGCATATTGCATTACATTTGATGCAAAAAAACTAGGAATAAATATATAAGTCATATTTATCACTTTCAATCAAAAAATCTACATCATTTTCCACAAAGTAATGAACAAACATCCTGTGACATAGTTTTTTAAACACTTAGCTCAGCATAAATAGAATATGCAGGTCAACTTGATTTGTATGAAGCGTTTTCAATATAAATTACATAAAATAATACATGCCTTTTTATTCACTATTTATTTGGCTAGTATTAGAGTATCCACTCTCAAGGTTACACATGAGTTATATCTATAAGATCTGAATCCGTAAGTGACAGATGTATACATCCCTATGAGTAGACTGGGTCATTAATCTTTCCATTTACAGATAGTCCTCAAATTACGACCACAACTGAGTCCAGCATTTATTGCTAATTAAGACAGTTGTTAAGTGAGTTTTGCCCCATTTTACAACTCTTCATTATTGAATTAATTAACCATATTAAAACAAATGGCTGAAGTGGATTTAAGGAGTAAAAGAGGAACCTCAAATTCTAAATAGACATAACAAAAAGACAGTTTAGATGTGTTATTTGTTCAGTTTAGATACTGTTCACAAGTTAAATCAAATTTTTGGTTTTTAATTGGTATATACATAAAACACATTGGAGTACATTTGTAATTTCAACTTCCTATACCATTTTAGGTTTGGCACATAAAACCATGGCTTTATTCAAGTTTGTTCTAAGTAACAAGAATCTAAAAAAAACCCATAAAGAACGCAGATTGTCTAAAGCTTGTCTCTCATACAGAAGTAGAAGAGAAAGAAACGGGAAATTCCAGTCCTCCTTATGCCTCATTTATTATACTATGCAAAAAGCAGTCTTAATTGAAACTTACCGGCCATCTTCCTGAGCAGCGCCACCTTCAGTTACTGTTTTTACAAAGATACCCAATTTTTCCAGTCCCTGATCTGCACCAACACCCATTCCTATTATACTGATACCCAAGCCATTGTCACCTGCAAGAAAAACACAAGCAAAATGATCCTATTTTTGTAACTTGTGAGCATACTGTTATCATAGCCAATGGCTGAGACTAATGAAGTGGCTGGGACAGCTGGAACATAAATGAAGGAATTTTACAGTAGGGCACAATGATTTGAGGCCCATCTGAAGCAATAAAAGCAGAGAACACAGCTTACTTCTTGGCTTACACTGCAAACAGATCAAAAAAGTATTTGTTTCATACAGTGAAGCTTCTTTTTATTTGGGTGTGAGAAGGATGTGGAAGAGCTGGAGAATCTTTCTGACAATTTTCCTTCTTTTTCTTTTTTCTTTTTTTGCAAATGATGTCAATGAAATCTGTTTTAAATGGGATTCCAAGTGTTCGGTCAAATCCTAAGAAGGAAACCTCAGCAACCACATGTCCCCTTATTTTGCATTCTTTGGGGCTTGCAGAAGAGTTTCAATACAATGGATTCCATAGGAATTTATAATCAATTAGAGATTCCTGACAGTTCACAAAAACACTGCACAGAGGGGTGGGGGAGTGCCCACTGGAAAACTAATCTTTTAACATTCTCTAGTATTTTCTGGAAGGAGCAAGTCTAATTTTTGAGAGGAAATCATTTCATGAGGCCAGAACTGGATGGGAAAAAATTGCACTTCCTGACTTAATATGCCAAAACTAGCACTGTACATTTTACAAGGAAACTTCTAGGCAAACAATAAAGGGCAAAGATGTTGTGTATTTCTGGTGGTAGTATTTGCCATTATGTGAGCTGCCACATTCTGCATTAATTGCTGTTGTGGTGTTTTCAAAGCCATCAGAACAGCAATGTAGAGCACATTGCAGCAATCTAGATAGGCAACGATCAAGACATGAGTTAAAACACAGACAGTATTGTAGAGAAGTAAGCTTGCAACTGGGGAACCAGCTAGCGCTAGATGAATACCCTAACAGCCACAATTTTTTTCTGCCTTTCAAGTATTAAGTGTGAATTGAGGAAGCCCACCCCCACCCCAAATTGCAGCCGTGCTTCATCAGGGTTTTTCCCCTCCATCCAGATTGCAGCAGCCTCATCTAGGCAATGAGACAAGAGTTTCACATAATTGCATTCTTTCTTGACAAGCACGTCAACAGACTGGAAGTAGTCCTTGATTTTCATCTATCACCAGCACAGGTGGTAAATATGCCAGAATATGTTTGCTAATCTTATTTGACAACAATTATCTATATCATCATTATATCTCTTCTTGACTACTGCAATGCCCTAAGTCACAAATGGTATGTAATGTGGCAGCTAAGTGTAACTTATGTAAGTTACAAGGGTCACAAGATGCCAGTAGAACTTGCTAATTGCTCACTGGCAAAAGTTAATGTGTTACTATGGCCTTTAAATCCTAAACAATTTAGGGACTATTTGCAGTCATATAATAGCAATAGAAGGCCTTTTTGAAGATGTCCATGCTTTCAGAAACCTATCTATATAGCACCTATTGATCCAAGGCTATGGAATACGGTCCCTTGGGAGCTGGGTTCAGTTCCCACTGTCCAGTGAAAAAAAGAATAAAGATAGACCTTCTTCACCAGGTCTTTAATTTTTAATGAATCAATTTTGATATTATTTTTATGCTTTAAACGTAATAACTTTCCTTCAAGCTAAGATAGATATTAAGAGACAAATCAACCTATGCTTATAATAAAAACTGAAATATTGATGTATTTAAAGACTCCAAAGGATAAAGTATAATGCTAAGCTAGGTAATTTTTGCACAAATTTAAGAACTGGAATTTGCATTACCTAAACTAACAGATTAAGTTTTAAACTTGGTGATACTTAACATTACTATTTAAATATCGGCTAACATCAAACCTAATACTACTTAGTACAACCACGTTTCTCTAATTCTCACCCTATTTTTCTTGATGCATTCAGAAAACATAAATCAGATGAAGTCAGAAAGTTCACACATTGTCTTTAAGTTTGCTAATGACATTGCGTCAATATGAGTTTTGACTTTTTCTCTCAGGACTAATATATTAAAAATGGCTGCCTTTTTATATTGCTTTCAACGTTTCTAAAATATTTTCCAGCCCTTATACATCCAAATTTTTAAGAAGACGATCTTAAACTTAAAAGTAATTTATATTCTTGACTTTGTAATGCTACAGCTAATTAGAGGTTTTGCAGTATCAATGATGCAAAATTAAGGTATAAACATTAAAAAGGCCTTGTTGTTTTTCTAGGACAGACATTCGAGATTTGTACCTTTTTCAATTTCCACAGGAAACACCTCCATTTTTTCCACCCTTTTCTCAAGTTCATATTCTGCTGATGCGGCCACAGGATCCACCTCCTCATTGCGTCTATCATAGTCTTCATTTGAGTAAGTACTGAATACCTAAAAAAATACAGTATTTTCAAAAACGTTTTTTATCCATGCAAGTTGAATAGTTTTAAATGTCAATTAAATACCAATTTAGAACATGCCTATGTTATACTCATTTGCAAATCAATGTTTGAGAGTATGTGGACCACACAGCAAATTACATCCTGGTAATTTCTAAAAGCCCATAAAATCTTTAATCTTGTTATTTGAAAAATGATGTTTTTCAATAATAGGACTATCATATATTGATAGTGCAGCTTTTAAATTAAAAAAATATTAGAGGATTTATGTTATGTTATTCTACATTATACCTGAAGCACTTGATCTTAGCCAAAAGGCTGAGAAGCAAAATGTACTGAATTATATGCTTAACAAAACTAGGAACTGATTTCAGAAAACGATAACTACATTTACACAAAAAGATAATATTGCTGAATTTAAAATTTAATACCCCAACCAATGGAAAAATAAACAGGAAGAAAAGGTGATAAACATAGAAAAATCCATGCTTTCTGACGTCTTTCTTTGTTAACAGTATTTGCTAACTCCCACTGAAACTAATCCCCTGCAACAAATGTGGACCTATGAGCAAACATACTGGTCACTATCTACATCCCCCCAAAAGGCAAAAATTTAAATTAGTATTAATTGAATTGCCAAGTGATTAAACTGTAAAATAAGGTATCTGTTAGTAAAATTGATCTTCCATATGCATCTACAATCTACAGTCTACAAAGTAGTCTACAAACTACTTTTTCTCACACACTACTCTCTCAAATATGAATACGCAGAGATCCACATATGAACATTCACACAAGGAAAAAAGCAACACCACATAAACCAGGGGGATAAAGCTATAGATATTTCCTCTGTATTAAATCCGTAGACTCTTCTGGGTAAATAAGCATAGGCTGTTACTATGCAGGACATGGAACCATTTAGTCAGCTTATTTATGTAAGTTGGAGTAGAAACTGAAGGAGTGTGGATGTATATTGTCTTTCTCTTTGCAAAAAAACATAAGTTGACACATACTTTTCAGCTGAGCTACAAGAAATCCTGTTTTTGTATGTCTTCATCTTGAGGCAATAATAGACTTAATTTTTGGACTGAGAAGTATTTATGTTTTCTCAGTTATGCTGTATCTAACATCTGCAATCCTCTTGAGAACTTAGGCTAGAAGTACACGACAGGGCTTTCATAGAAACAAAGAACAAAAAAATCGACTAGTTTGAATTGTGTCTCACAAGATGATTGGCCACATAGTTTTTAAAACAAATAAAATGAAATACGCTTTCAGAAATGTCTCAAAGAATAGATTCTAGCACCAAATGAAGTTCAAAATTAGCAACTGAATGTGGAGTCAACTTGCTGTTTGCTTATTGGAGGGCAGCACCCTCCAACAGTGTTTAAGGAAGACACTGTTCAGCAAACCATACGTAGGATATCTTCACTGGAGAAGCTAGGTCCAAAAAGAAGACAACAAAGTGCTTCTATTTCAGCCATGGCAGCTGGGCTCAAAAAGAGAAAAGTCAGTGCAGGGAAATGGAAAAGAAGGCAGCTGGTTAAATGAATGCTTGCTGATGCTTACTAGGGCTTCATGAATAGTGCAATGCCGGGGAGCCACGTATAGGAAGCTGGAAAATTTGGAGTGCCCAGGGTAACATAGTGGACAAGGGTCCAAAAAGGAGACAGCAAACACAGCAAGGCAGCAAATACTGCTTCAGGGACTGGGCGCAAAAGATCAATGTAGGAAACTGAGAGAAGGCAGCTGGGTGAACAAATGCTTATCGGTGCAGGCTGGGTCAACTGAGGCTCCCCATTGCATGAGGAAGCAGTCCCAGAGGTACATAGTTTTGGGACTGCTTGCTGCCATACAAGGTAGCGTACACAGCATCCAAAAGGGAGTAAATGAGATAGGTGAGCTGAAGGAAGTGAAGTGCCCCTACAGTTGTAAGTGTGGGCAAGATACCAAGCTCCTGAATTTTGATACGTGACATCTAAAGTACCGCACTGCCATAACTTTAGACACAGGCTGTAAGTCCATTTTTCAGGACTGTCTTAACTTGGAATAGTCACTGAATGAAGGGTCATACGTCAAGGACCAGGTATAGTTTTTCATCAAAAGAAAAACCTAACCATGTGCTGGATTGATAACACTGTTTCTGAGGAGAACTATGGTTATAAAGGGAAAGCAGGAGAATTATAGAAAGTAAAAGAAGCAATGAATAGGACATATTCCTAAATCCCTGATGATTTGAGGAATGTGTTCCTGATCTGTGCCTTCATTTTCAGTGCCGCAAACTATATAAGACATCTTATTTGGGAATATTTTAATGAAAGCTCTTATATGTCTGAGTAAGTCAGCCAAATGCAAACAAGCCTGACTGATTGAAACATCAATATAAAAACTGTGCCTGCTTTGCAGATGCTAACAGAAGCATGTCTGAACATGTACCATCCATACATTAGTAAATATTTTTATGCCACCACATCCTTTTTTCTTTTGTAAGGACTGTCTGAATTCCATAGTTTTTTTTGTCCTTTTGAATTCTGATATATGAATAGTACCAGTAGTTATTATGGATTATGCTAATTCACTGCATTTAACCAAACAGGTGTTTCTTCTAATCAGCACAAGCACTTTGTAACACTGAAAAAAACATTAGGTATATTAACTTCTTTGATTTTTGTTCATAAGAATCAATTTGAACCAGTTGAAGGCTGAGTTTTAATCGTGCCTTAGGCATGAAAGCTGGCTGGGTGACTTTGAGCCAGTCATTCTCTCTCAACCCAACTCATCTCTTATAGTTGTAGGGAAAATAGGAGAACAAAGGAGTATTAGATAAATTCATCGCCTTGAGTTATTTATAAAAATAATCTAAATAATCTAAAAACTATACACAATATTCTGGGTACCTATGTTATATTTAATATTAATTTTTACTTTCTATTAATTTAGAGAGAGTTAATTTAGAGAGTTTAACAGGCCTAGTATACCACCATCACGCAACAACAAAATGTATCCTGTAGAAATTAGTACAGATAATTTTATAATTAAAAAACATAAATTACAGCATTTTTTTAAAAAACCCACTTGATCTGTGTTTATGCAACAACTTCATTTCCATATATAGCCATATGGCTGATTAAACAGATTAAAAGAATAGATATTGCAAGAGGATTTTTTATTAAATTATATATGGTGTCAGGCCTGGAAGACATCGTTTACATTGGGCCTTTAGGCCTGCCACATTTTCTACTGTGGGAAAATGGGAGGGGGGAATTATATGGAGTATGGGAGATATATAATCCAAATAAAATTCTTTTCTCAGAGAAGTTCATCTTGCCCTACACCTTGAGTGGTGTGACTGGGAGGCATCTCTAGTTGGGATGGTGCCTGATTGGACAATGTGTTGGACATGTGTGTGCTGGGCAGAAACTTAAACTTTCACTAGAATGGAGAAAACCTGGAAACTTTCAGATTTGGGGTTTCCCAGATGTGCCAATATGACATCTCTAATAAAAATGGAACTTTGAAGAAACTCAGAGTCTTCTTTCATTGAGGGTGTTACTTGGAATCCTGAAATATACAAATATGATGTATAGTATTGTCTTTATTGTCATTGTACAAAATAAATACAAGACTGGTTATGGTAGTCTAGATGAGAAATTGTTGCTATGTCTTAACGTGAGGAGCAAAAAAAACATAAAACACATTCCATGTGTTTTATGTATTGAGAAAAGAAGCATCTTCCTTACTAAAGCAAGAAAAAAACGACACTGCTAAATATTTACAAATAGACGCTATGAATGTGATAATTTTTAAAAAACTGTAAAGAGCACAAAGGTGGATAATACTGCAATGTATTATCACAAGAAACCTAGAACAAATGGAAAAGTCCCCAAATAGTATAGAGATAAAATGTTCATTTAATACATTTCCTAGCTATAAATTTCAATGTTTAAGAAATAAAATCTACTTTGTTAAAAAAATAAACAAACAGATGGGAGATCTTAACATGGGGCCAAAGAGAAACTAGAGTATTTGATAACCATCATAAAATCTATTGTGTGTGGGGGGGGGGGAGCTGGGGTAACCTTGAAAAAAACAATAGATAATAGTAAGACCTAAACACAAATATAAAACAAAGGAAAAAGCCCTGCTCCAACTGATTTTCTTGCCAACACCAGAGTCAATTTTTAACTGCTAAAGAGGAACTAACCGGGATATAGGCATCCAATCAATCTTCCACAACTTCAAGTATAAACTTCAGGAGAAAGCATCAGCCATCCAAGAAATACACTTAAGATTTGTGACCACAATTGAGCCCAAATTTTCCACTGCTAAGCAAGACAGTTATTAAGTGAGTTTTGCCCCATTTTAGGACTTTTCTTGCCATAACTATTAAATGAATTAACCCAATTAAGTGAATCTGGCCTCCACGTTGACTTTGCTTGTCAGAAAGTTGCAAAAGGGGATCACATGACCCCAGGACACCGCAACCATCATAAATACATGCCAGATGCCAAGGGTCCAAATTTTGATAACATGACCATAGAAATGCTACAATGGTTGAAGAGTGAAAAACAGTCATACGTGACTTTTTTCAGCAACATTCTAACTTTGAATGGTCACTAAATGAATGGTTGTAAAGTCAAGAAATACCTATACTTAATTTTTATTTTTAAAAGTGATATAATACATATGGCAATCAGCTATTTTTTCCTATTACTTTTTATCAAATGCGGAACGATAACCTGAACTAGGCCAACCTCAAATATTGATTAATTTATAGAATTTATTTATTAAATTTCAGCACCACCACCCTCACCCAAGTGACTTTGGAATAGTTACAACCATCATGTATAGTAATTTCATTCTTTATCTCTGTTTAGAAATGAAAAACAAGCAATCCTACTTTTATAGTTTGCAAATTACCCTCAATTTTGAACTACTTCCAAATTTTTAAAAAATCACAATCAGGAAAGCTTCACTTAATGTTTCCAACACAATGATCTACTAATATGCACAAGTTATTTTTCCACTTTTAAATATACAAGTCTTGCTCACTTGGAACCTACAGCCAAAGACATTTTATCACTCTTGGCAGAAATATTAAAGGGAATCTTAATTAATATTATATTTATTACAACATTAATGATAATATTACTGTGCTAAAAGATACCGATTCATTTCTTTTTTTAATATACTAGTAATGTTTGTACATTTCACTGTATCTGGCTTCCATATGATGTTCTCTGGATAAGCTGGAATTCAGCTTGCATAATTGCTAGTTAACCTGCTCTTTGCCCACAGTACTTGAAAATGAAAGGAATGTGCAATGTTATCTGTGGGCGAAGCAATGAAAAAGATGTACTAAACCATAACTTAGTAAGGCACAAAGAAACAGGGATGAGCCACATGTCCTGAATTCACAAACTGTTCTCTTTATTTTTTAAAAAAAACATGGTTGATGTTCATCATAGTTAATCAATATATCCCTGGGCAAAATTGCTAGCCAGCTAGCATTGTATATTATTCCACACATGCACTTAAAAGAAGTTACTTAGCACAATTTTGCAGACTGCATCATTGTTATCGTTAATCTCTCTGGATTACCACTTATCTGTTACTTATCATCACTTATAACTATTAAGATAAAGAGGACCACACCAGCTCCCTAATCTAATACTTGCCATGGGAAAGGGGAATAAGAGCAATGTTCCCATAAACAAAGAAGTAGGATTCCTAAGGTATTGATTCCATGACTATGACTATAGCAATAGCAATAGCAGTTAGACTTATATACCGCTTCATAGGGCTTTCAGCCCTCTCTAAGCGGTTTACAGAGTCAGCATATCGCCCCCACAGTCTGGGTCCTCATTTCACCCACCTCGGAAGGATGGAAGGCTGAGTCAACTCTGAGCGGGTCAGTCAGCTGAATTGGTCTGCAGTACTGCACCCTAACCACTGCACCACCTCGGCTCTGCACCACCTCGACTACTAGAGAATCCATTTTCCCTAAAAATTCACTGTAGGCATTCCACTATCTAAATTCATGATCAAGTCCCTGATGAGGTGCTATGAAGTCATCTCCATCTCTTGTTTATACTCTGTTTCAAGAACAAAAAGTAGTAAAAGAATTCAGACAATTTGAACCTCACCATAAACCTGAAGCCCTGGGGGGATGCTGCATAACTATTAGCTTCTGAAGGGTATGAGGGTGTGTGTGTAAATAAACAGAGACATAGAATCAAAATCACGTGACATATTAGTACTGCTTTATGAAACCTTGATAAGACCACACCTGGAATACTGCATCTGGTTTTGGTCAACATATTATAAAAAGATGCTGAGACTTTGAAAAAAAAGTGCAAAGAAGAGTAAGTAGGATGTTTAAAAGGCCTAGAGACTAAAACATATGAAGAATGGAACTGGGTATGGCTAGTCTAGAGAAATGAAGGACAAAGGGTGATATGATAGCACGATTCCAGTATTTGAGGGGCTGCCACAAAGAAGAGGCTATTCTCCAAAGCACCACAAGGCAAGAAAAGAAACAACGGATAGAAACTAATCAAGGAGAGAAGCAACCTGGAATTAAAGAAAAACTTCCTAACAGTGAGGACAATTTACCAGTGAAACAGCTTGCCTTTGTAAATCGTGGGTGCTTCATCACTGGAGGTTTTTAAGAAGAGACTGGACAGCAACTTGTCTCAAATTGTATAGGGCAGTGATGGCGAACCTTTTTCAACTCGGGTGCCAAAAGCACGAGCATGTGCACTATCACGTGCCCACCCCATAATTTAATGCCCCCCTGTGCTGTGCCCCCTGTGCATGCGTGCATGAACTCCCCCTCCCCGCTACTCCGCACATGCACACAGGGTTTTCTAGAAGCCTGGGGAGGGTGAAAACGGTCTCCCCTGCCCCCCCCCCCCCCCCCGGAGGCCCTGAAGCCTCCGAAGAGAGAAAAACAGTTTTACATGCAATCCGGAAGTCCATTCCCGAACTTCTGGTTTCCGCATTGGATTGTTTTTCACTCTCCTGAGGTTTCAGGTGGCTTCCCTGAAGCCTCCAGAGGGAGAAAAACGCCCAATGCGCAAACCAGAAGTCCGTTCCTGAACTGAAAACTGAGTTGTTTTTCGCCCTTGGGCAAAAAACGGCTGAAAATGAAGGCTGAAATCAGCTGGCATGCACTGGACCTGACAGGTCAATGCCTCACATGCCCTAAGAAATGGCTCCACGTGCCACCTGTGTAGAGGTGGCCACTCATGTCATCACGGGTATAGGGCCTCCTGCTTGAGCAGGAGATTGAACAAGAAGACCTCCAAGGTCCGTTCCAGTTCTATTCTAATTAATTAACTTTGTGGTAGATGCTTAGATATTAAAACACTGCTATCATATTACCCCTAGTCCTTTTTTCTATTCTTTTTCTTTAGCATTTCACTCTGATCTGACCTACTGTCTTTAAATCTTAAAAGAATTTATTGACTCCTGACTGGCAACCAAAATGACAACACAATACCTCCCTCCTTCATTTACTGCAACATAGAAAATAGTTCCTATACCTCTCAAAAGTTGATACTATACCCACATAATGTATATCCTAAATTATTACTACTATTGCTCTTGCAGATGGTCGTCGCTTAAGAACTATTCATTCAGTGACTGCTCAAACTTGTGACAGTGGCAATGAATAGTAGTTATGACTGGGCTTTGTCCTTAACATTGGTTAAGGTCTCCATAGTCATGTAATTGCAATGTGGACCTGGCTTGCAATCACAGTGCCCTGCATTCATGTGATTACAATTTATGACCTTCTTTGCTAGTTTCCTGCAGGCAACGTCAACAGGGAAGCCAGAAAAGATGGTGCAAATAGCGACCATAATGATTTGTTGTGATTCACTTAATAACTGCAACTGTGAATATTGTAATTTTCATTGCTAAATGGCATAGTCATGTGATATTGCACTTTATAACTGTGACGCTTAGTCACAGAAATTCCAGTGTTAATTACCATTGTTAACTGAAGACTATCCACATTACTTTAAGAGCTAAAGTTCACGTGTGGATTTTGAATTAAAAATAATCAAATAAAGCTAAACAATAAAAATACAATAAATCACACCAGAAATATATTTATATGTAAAAAGAACTATTACAGCACAGAGTAAGAATGTAAAATCTTTGTACAAAAACCAGAAATATCAATGAGTGATACATGTGCTGGGACCAAATAGCAACAGAACTTAAGACTTATATACTGCTTCATAGTGCTTTATAGCCTTCTTTAAGCAGTTTACAGAGTCAGCCTATTGCCCCCATCAATCTGGGTCCTCATTTTACCGACCTTGGAAGGATGGAAGGCTGAATCAATCTTGAGCCAGTCATAATTGAACAGCCATACTGCAAAATTAGCCTCCAATACTACATTCTAACTACTGTGCCACCACAGCTTTTATAGATCATAATTGGGGGTGCCAAATATACCTCTCTGGAAAAGACATTTCATAAACACTTAACAATTGAGAAGGCCTTCTCCCATATAGCTGAGCACACCAAAGATAATTAAAAAGCCATTTCCTTTTTATTTGTTTCATGCCATTCAAAGCTTTAAATAACAACACCAAGAATGGGCCTAGACATCAGTGCAGCTGAATCAGTCAGTGCAGGATATGAAACACTGGCATTATACACTTAGCACAGTGGTTCCCATGTGGGGGGCAATTTGAACTTGTTTAAACTAAGTTAATGGCCTTTTAGGCTTCCACCGGGTGAGCAGAGTTCACTTTCAGAGTAAAGTAAGAATTATATGTCACAGGATTTTAGAGATGCTTAGGTGGGGCATGGCCAAAAAAAGGTTGGGAACCAATGACTTTCCTGTGCCAGGCAGTCGGGTTGGTCATGATTCCATTTCTGCTTACCTGAACCAGTGTTTGTTTTTTAAACGTAAAGGTACTTTAGAACTCAAAATACTTTAGTAATCCTTATCTGGAAGGGAGACTGTAATTAAGAGACCAATTTCAAAGCATCCATTTACTAATGAATATACTAATAGACTTCATTGTTATAATTACTATATTTAAATAAATAACAACAATAATTATATTTTATACCCATTAATGAAGTTTTACCTTGATTGGGGCTGTAGAAAACTTCACTCTTCTAGCTGGATCAGGATCATCTTCCTCAGAAAGTCCAGAAAGTTCCTCGTAATCACTATTATAGTTATATTCCTCCTCTTGCAAGGTTTCTTCTGTTTCAGGGCCCTGGCTAATTAGTTCTGTTTCTCTGTCATCATCGAAAGCGGCATTCTCTATCCCAAGAGCACTGGAAGAAAACCCACTCAACTTCTTTCTCTGTTCTTGTTCTTCCTCTTCACCATCTCCTACAGGTTTTACATGAACCTGCTCTTGTTCCTGAATTTTGTCCAGAAACGCTAACTCTCTTGCTCCTTTTTGATTAACTGCACCATCTTTATTAGATTCTTCCATTTCCTCAAATGTACAGTCATTTTTCTCCTCTTTCCAACTTGGAAATCTGAGTGGCTTTTCCTTCTGAAATACATTGACTTCCCCAGTGATTTCGTTGTTATCCCCTAAAGTTTTGTTCTGCACCATAATCAGTTCAGCTCTAGCTACCTCTACTTGGGAAATTTTTATAGGGGCTCTATCCACTTTAGAGGATATGCTGGGTTTATATTGTTGTTCCCTTTCGGCAGTTTGATCTGTTTGAGAAGTTACTTCAGTTGTATCACTTAACTCACTCCTTTCAGTAGAAGTGCTGCTTATCAAAAGGGAAGATTCTACAATGGGCTGGTTTTGTTGCAAATACACTTCTTTCCTAACTCCTGGTGATTCCCAGCCGCAGAACACTGTTTGAACAGGGTTTGGGATATCCTTCATTTTCAAAGTATCTTTGAAGTCATCATTGTCAATGTCAGCCAAGAAACTCTCCAGTCTTCGAGAAATAGGTCCTGCATTCAGTGAAGAGGATTTACAACTGCCAGTAGATTGCTGCCCCTTTTGATCACTATTTCCTTGATTCTCTGTTTTATCTACAGCAACCTGAGAAGTTACATCAATATTGAAATTAAAGTGATCTGTCACACTGCTGCCATCAGAAGAAGTAGAACCATGTCGTCTCCTGTCTTCAATTCTTTCACCTTTAATGGGAGGACTTCTATCCAGTGAACTTGGTTTTTTAATGTTCCTTTCAAACAGTTTCCTGGTCTCAGAAAACTTCTCTGCTAGTGTAGCTTTGTCTAAATTTCCCTCTTCTTTGCTGCAGATAATTTTATCAGTGAATGAGCATGCAGGTAAAGGATCCGGGGAACTACCAAAGGAACCACTATTGAGTAGGTTATTTTTTTGAACACAGAGGTAAGATGGGCTACTAGGAGGAGGAAGTGCAAGATCAGCTGAAGTTATTTTATTAATAATTCGGGGCTCAGAGGGTGGACTGTTTTCACAACATGGTGAATTGGAAGAGCCACCCATCTGCATGAACATGTTTTTGATCTTGTGCACTCTGTTGCCATATGAAACAGCTCTGCCACGAACATGTGGATCATTACCTTCTCCATTGGATGAGTTGGTTAACTTTTGCTGAGGATTAGACTTGTTGGAAGCATTATCAGTAGTCACTGAATCAAAGCTGCACTTAATTGCATGAAAATCAGTTTTATAGGCATTTCTGTGTGGAGAAGCACTTCTTAAAGTCCTGTCTCCTTTGCCTTCAGTCTTCATCATTGTCAAATGGAGAAAGCCTTTAATTCTTTACAAATGAGAGTCTGAAGAGGTGAAAACCAACAGCAGCTGCCAGTGCTGCTCCCACAATGTGATACAGCCCTCTTACAGCCTGGAGAGAGAATGAGACTGGAAGACGCCTCTCACCATTTTATTCTTCCATAAGAGCAATGAAATATGTGGTGGGAAGGAGGAGGAGAGGCACACACAAAAACAACAAGCACTTCAGGAATGTATCTAGAAAAATGAGATGCTAGCACCATAGCTGATCCATTCTTATCCTGAAAAATATCTGCAAAAAAACAACAACAACACTTTGTGAGCCAGAGACATCACTCATGTATACTAAGTATTTCATCCTATGTGTTAAATGCAATTCCATAGCCTAAGGAACAGGACAAAAATTATTTAAAATGTGGTCTATCAGCCAAGGGACGGGGGTAAAATAACAAAAAAAAATCTTTAAAAACTCAAGAGTTCACACAAGGCGGATCTTACAGAGACTCTGCCCCACACAGTGAAAGATATTTTCATTGCCAAGGCTTGCCTTTGTAACATATGACAGAGTAAACAAGGGAAAAGCAGATAATGGCTTTCAACCTGTGCAAAAAATAATTGATTCTTCTTCCCCTCTTCGATGAACAACTATGACAAGTTCTTCCACTTTCAGGATTAAGGAGTCTACTATTGAAAGTGTGCAACCTTCACACAGGATCCAACCACAACATTTTTCACTGGGAAAGAAATTGTTCTGAACGGTTCCAGGCATGAAGCATTTCTGAAGATTTGGAGTCTCTGCCTCTCTCTCTCTCTCCCTGCCTGTCCTCCCTCCCTCCCTCCCACAAAAACTCTTCTTTCCTTTCCAAAAGGTAACTTATTAACTAGCCATTTCCTTCTTCTAGGCCAGTGGTTCCTAACGCGGGCCCACACCCCATTGGGGGGGGGGGAAATTGATTTTTTAATGGGGCAATTTGAACCTTGTTGAAACCAAGTTAATGGCCTTTTATGCTTCTTCCGCATCAGTAAAGTTCAATTTTGAATAAAGTAAGAATTATATGTCAGGGGGTGGGGGTGGGGGCATCAGGATTTTAAAGATATTTAGGTGGCGTATGGCCAAAAAGTTTGGGACCCAGTGGTCTAGGCCCACCATTTCTGGACATGTTCCCTTAGTGAGGGAAAAGTAGAAATTATAGAAAATTAAAGGGAGACCTGGATTTCATTATAACTAATCTATCATTCCCCCGAAGCACTTATTCCACCAACACCCACTTCCCCCTCCTCCTCCTCTCCTTTACCCACGAATCTGGGTTTCTTGCATTCCCTACCAGAAATGCCATGCCAATCATTAAAAAAATCGGTGTTTCCACCAGGATCACGAACGAGCAGTAGCCCCTCATTCGAGCAGCCTTCAGGAAAGGTGGAGGAGCCGAGTCAAGAAGCAGCGATTTGAGCGGCTCACAATGGAGCCGCTGCCAACTCGGATTTCCCCTCCCTCTTTCGGTCCCCCGTTGGCGAAGCGCTCGAGGCCCCGGCGCTCCCTCCCTCCCTCCCAACTTTTCAAACTAACCGTTCCCTTTTTTTTATTTTCCTCCTCCTCGCACTTACCTGAGATAAAGAGCGGATCCTAAGCGGCGGCGGCGGCGGCGGCTCTTCCCCTTTCCCCAGTTAATTGCAGCTTCCCGTCCTGGCTCTCCCAACCAGCAAAGCCGCGCAACGGATCGTCCGACTCGCGCCTCCCCTCTCGACAGCAACTGCCCCCGGGCCGGCCGTTGTTTTTCATCGGTTGCGTTTTTCTTTCACGCCGCCTCCTCCACTCCCAACTCTTCTACTCGTCCGACTCTCGGTTTCGCGCGCCCGCCCGCTCGCCCACCCGCGCGATCGCTTTAGAATTCGGCTCTTTTCTTCTTCTTCTTCCCTCGGGACCGCGCGGGCGAGCGCGCGCTTCACTTCTTTCCCCCCGCACAAAGAGTCCTATCCGACCCAGCGTGAGCCCGACTTTCTTTCTCTGCCCCCTCCCCTTCCCCTCTTCCCCGAGGGAGACGAAAGCGGCGAAGCAGGGGGCGGGATCAGAGGTGAGAGACCTGAAGGGGGAAAGGCGAAAAGCGAGCGAGTCTAAGTTCTAAGGAAACGCCTGCATCTGTTGGGATGTACCATCCCGGGATAAAGGGGGGGGGAGAGCGTTAGGCGATACCAACCAGGGAAAAGGTCAGGAAAACTTGGCCGCGTCTATTGTTCTGTTGAGTTTACCCCCCTGCTGGCGTTTTCGCTCCCTGCCTAATAAAACGTGACGGGCCATAATTATTAAATAAATAAATAAAAGATTCTGGTTTTTTTTCTATTTCCTAGGCAGTTCAGAGTCAGAACCAAGAAGATAGGGGAAGGGGTTGGCTTTTTCAACAGCACAAGTTGTCGGCATTTGGGGGCTAACTTACCCTTCATTCACTTTTTGCACAACACAGATTTTGTTTGCTCAGTATGTATAAAGGGAGATGAGAAACTAGAAATGGTTTAACCTTAGCAATACATAAATGTTGCATATTATTGAACTTTATTCATTATTATAATTATTTTTCAGGCTAACCTTTTCCACAATACAAATAAGTTAATGTTTTTTAAAAAGCAAATACAATACAAACAACTTAAGATTTTTAAATCAAAAATATATAATATAATAAAATATTTTTACTAAGATTTATTGATCTGTTTAATTTATAAGCCGCATCAATTTTTCAAGCAGCTCTAGATGAGAAATTTTTAAAAAGAATAATAA